AACACCATCGACTTTGAAAAGGCCTTCGACAGCGTCGATCGAGAGGTGATTTGGAAACTACTACTCTACTATGGGGTGCCACCGACAATTATACATCTCATCCAACAGCTGTACGACAATGCTGCATGCCAAGTAATCCACAACGGGAAACTTACGGAACCCTTCGAAGTGAGGACAGGAGTAAGACAAGGCACTCTACTATCGCCAATGATTTCCCTGATTGCGGTAGACTGGGTAATGCGACAAACAGCGGGCAATGAGGAAACAGGCATAAAATGGACTCACACGAAAACACCTGGAGGATCTGGACTTCGCCGATGATATATGTCTGATTTCCCACAAACTGGAAGATATGCAAGTGAAAAGTAACAAGTTGGCACAAGAAGCATCCAGCGAAGACAGAACTCCAAGTAAATATAGAGAAAACAGAGGTGATGAATATTCCTGGCCAACAGCAACAGCAAAAACAGACAACGATCAGCATAAATGGAAGGAACCTGAAAGAAACAACCTCCTTTAACTATCTAACTGGGAGGCATCGTTTCAACTACAGGCGGACGGAACTGGTGAGGATACCGAAGCAAGGATCCGAAAAGCAAGGCAAGCTTTCATCACTCTCAAGTCTGTGTGGAGACCAGCAGCACTCAGTATGAAAAACAAGTTCGGGATTTTAAACTCCAGTGTGAAATCAGTGCTAGTTATTATACAGACCAGAGACTTGACGCCACGTCACTAAGGCCACTTCGAACTAACTACAGACCTTCATCAACAGCTGTCTTCGCTTAATACTCAACATCAGATGGCCAGAAAAGATCAGCAGCAGGGATCTTTGGGAGAGAACTAACCAGGAACCGATTGTGCAACAAATATTCAGGAAGAAATGGAGGTGGATTGTTCCTCTGGGAACTTAGGGAGACAATAATAATATTATAATAATTAATCATTTTAAGATGTATGATAATTTCAAAGGCAGGAGTGATCATAAAATTAGTTAGCTAGGTATTCTAAAGTTCCCACTGCCACGTGATACTTCTTTTAAAAAACTTATTCGTGTAAAAAGAATATTGTTTCCAATAACCGTTTCATAAGGCTCTACAGTTATATATCTGTGATAGTGAGATAAAAATTTTTTTGAAAACATTGACACAAATGTATATTGATTAGGCGTAAAACAACTATCCTATTGAAGTTTATTTTCATTATGCTGTCTAATATTGCAAAGAATCCGCAGTCGGACAGTAGATAAATTCATTTTTTAAAGTACGAAAATTAATCTGCACGTGTGAAGATGTAGACTGCCTGGTTTGGGTTCAGGGCATATCGAGAACCATTAGCTCGAGACTGTTGGTAATATGCCTCAGAACCATTCTGAATATCACAGATTCATCAACTCTTTGTAATCTCCCAGATATATTAAATTCTCATGTTTCTCCATTTTACTGTACTTTTTTTGTACACTTCCGTATTTGGTAGTTATTCTGAATTCCTTTTTATCTTTTCTGTATCTTTGTGTGGTATATGAAGTGATTCCACTTGAAATGTTGCATTTCTGGGAAACATTCCTCCCTAAAACTTTGTCAGTCAGTCATCTTTATCCTTGTAAGGTTGAGTCTGTCTGTCTGTTTTCAACATTGAACTTTGCACAGATGTCCAGTAGTTCAAGTCGCCACACTCCAGAACTTCTATCACACAAATCAACAGAAGAAAGTATAAGAAATGCATAACAGAGACAGCAAACAGAGGTGTGAGACAAAATGATTAGTAATAACGAAGAACAATATAGTTTCATTGGAAATTATAAGTCACAAGTAGTGGATGCATCTACGCTATTCATTGAGAACGATTCTGAGCCATATCACCGATTGTCTCCAGCCTTCATTGGTGCTTATCGTCCCGAGGACCCCAACCAATCAGGAATTCTACACCTTCCTACGTAGCTGGCTTGCTTAAACTAACTGTTGTGGATTTCACTCACTGGTGCCATGTTTTGTTTTAACAGCCACTAGCTAGCTCTTTTCCAACCTGATCGATCCTATGTCAGCTAACATTGCCCATCGAGGAAGGCGATGACTAGACATACGTAACACATGTCCTCACCATCTTTCTCAATCGATTTCCCCTCCCACCTACCTAGCACTCGACCGATGCCTAACGTCAGTTTTGCCCACCCTATTATACCACTTAACACGGTAGATAGAACGCAGGCACTTATGATCAAAGACAGCTAGCCAGGGTTTTCATTTCTTCCACTCTCAATGGCCATGTCTCGCTCACAGCCGTAAAGGAGGACAGAGCAGACTGCTGAGCAGTACACCCGTCCTTTGGTTGATAGCCAGCCGGATGTCACATCTACGCCAGAGATGGCGTAAGCTGGAATATGCGAAACTAGCCCTCTATATCCGTGCTGAGATTTCGTTAACGATCAACCCATTGGCACTGGCTGATGCAACTTCACAAATAAGTGAAGTGGTCAACACGCTTTACCACTTCACTCCCTATTTCTAAACTAGGAGTCAGTGTAGTCCATTCCTGTAACATCATTTTACATTTTGCGGATGCGAATCGCATGCCAAACATTCGTGTATTGAAGCTCAAGGAGTTCAGAAGACTCTGCTATATATATATGTATATATATATATATGGAAATTGTTTTAATGTAAAAATAGGCACTCTCTATTATATGTGGGACATATTTTTGTCTCACAATAGAGAAAAATACCCTGTCTAGTGTTTGCTCATGCTTTTTTATGTAAATATACTAGTATTTTTGATTTTGAGAGCCATTTATTGCTCTTACCCTATTTTATAATCTTCCCCAGAAACCCTCTATTGAATTATTATGAGTACCGGTTGTGGAATCGACGAAATCATCAGAATGATTAACTCGATCGTGTATATAGCGTAAATCCGATAATCGATTATATCCTACCCATTCATCCGTGTGAATATTAGTGGCAGTCAAAACGAGTCTCTGAATAGGCAAAAGAGTGTCGGCACTCCTGTCTGGAATCAGTCCAATCAATCTCTTCTGAATTTGACTGTCATAAATCCCTAATACCCAAACGTTGTCATCTCTAGCATGATCGCGGTTGTATTTCTTCTTTATCATCACTGTTTCGTCTATGTAAAAACGATAACACCGACTCCTCTCAACACTTGAGTAATATTGTTCATTTTCCATGAGACTAAATCTCAACAAAAATTGAAATCACCACACAGTAGACGTCAACGTATTTTCTCTCTGAGTGGCTGTTGACCTCACACCGGACTTCAAAATCCAGTAATGGCAAAGAAACAGTATATTCGTCAAATAAAGTTTCTATTTTACAAAGAAATTTCCTAGAAGACAATTAACTGAAAGTTTCACTCAGTACATCTAAATACGGTTGCAGGCTGATTGAATCACCCCACCTACATATACGAGAACGTCCTATCAATCCATTATCCAGACAGCATTTAAAAACTTGATGTGCGTCGGTGGCACATAGGTTAGGATGCTCGCCGACCATACACATGGTCCGGGGTTCGATCCCCGGCCACAGACGCACTCCTTTACCTCAGTAAGCTGGTAAAGAGGAAAGGTTGGGCATGAGGCTAGCAACCCCATGCTGTAAAAGTAAACACCACTGCTACAGAAACTTCAAGCCTCTAGTTTGAAGCCATATGATCCACTGGGAACGTGAAGGAATACAAAAAAATGTATAAACGTGATCTGGGTGAAATTTGCACTTGAGCTCATGAACAGCGTTCATTTTTGCTTCTAGAATAGTCATAGCTTTCTTTAACCAACGACTAGCATGCGTTTAAGGTCATTTGAGCGTTAGTACTCCTAGGACACTATTGCTGAACTTCGCCATATTTGTTAGTGCATAAAACACTGGATATTTTTACAATTTTGTGTAAATATTTTTTAGATAAAGCAATAAGAAGACGTAATCTGTCTGAATCGTGTATTGTATGTATTTGCGCAAAACATTTCGAACAATCTGATCACACACGGACTTGTCAAAGGAATATATATGAAATTAATAAAGAGTTAGGAGGTGAGAAAATAGACTTAAGTCAAGTTAAAAGGACATTTTCAAGGTCAAAGTAACAATGAAGACCACTAAACCAAATAACAGAGGTAACAGTGCATCTGCTAAGGTATCAAAACAAAATTTACCAAGAAAGGTGGTCGTTTAGTGTGATAACGAATTGTTGCTTTGAACACATAAAGGTGGTTCAAACTTCCTAATTGCCAGCTAGAGCTTCCACAAACTTTAGGATACGCCTCAAACACGTTTTATAGATAGGTATAAAACATATGAAAGCATCAATTTTATGTCCTGTCTATATAATATATTTCGCAATAGGGGAGCTAGCTCTCTTGTTCTCACCATTAATGGGTTCTGAAGATTCTATTTGTTTATGGAGCCATTTAGCAATATGCTCTGAAGCCAGCTCTTACTTGCAGAGATCGATGAGTCCTCCCTATGTATTTATGTGTCCACACGTACATTCAAATTGGTAAATAGAGTGGGATGTGACGTCATTTTTCGCATGTTCAAAGGGCTTAGGTGGATGGATATATTGGCTTCACATTCTCAATCATTATGATATTAGCTGCATAAAAAGTCTTTCTGACAGCAGCGTTCAGTCTTTGTCTAGTTATCAAGCTGCTATGATGCCCCATATAGTGTAGCTTGATGTACACGTCTTTCTTAGAGGTGAGTTGGAGAATGGATCTTGGTGTTCCACTGACTACTTTATATCTCCTAATGAACTTGTCTGGATAATTGTTATCAACCGGAATTTGTGTCAACTTTCTTTCTTCCTCATCATCAAGTGTGTCTTCAGTGCATATTCGTTGAATTCTACTGAAGAGGCACCTCACCCACTAAGGCTCTTTTGTACCGAACAGGGCAGGCAGAAACTGTGGTAATTAAGATACTGTCCTGTCCATTTTTTGTTATTTTGTTATTTTTTGTTATCTGACTTATTTTTCTTTCTTTCAATAGAGTGAAAGAACACTATGCTGAATATGAGCCTATTTTAAGACTGTTAAGACAAAAGTATGAAACTGCAATGAAAGAGAAGACATTGCATAGAATTGAACGTGATAAAGCAATGAATCAGGTGGAAGGACTAAGGAATGCATTAACCTCACTGCAAAAACTTGGTATCGCAACGAATGATCCAAATGATATTGATTATGTTATGGCTGACAATAATAATAATAATAAGACAGACAATATGATCAATAAACAGGGGAAAACAGAACGTGGTCTGCAAACTTTATTCAAGTCTGATGGATTAGTTTACTGCAATAAACTAGCTAAAAATTCAAAAAGGGTAAGGCATTATTTGTGATTTGAAAAAATTTCATTATTGAGCAAAGAATATCCTTTTCTATAAATTCCTCTTCTGGCTCTACAGTTATGCGTGTATATGTTTATGTACATAGAATATTCTAGATTAGTAGTCAGTAACCACACTGGTGTTTTTTAAATAATATCGATTTGTAAATTAAGATCACGATGGAATTACAGTTCATTAAAGATGCTTAAATTATAAAAATAATAATAAAGATATAATAGCAAACAGAATATTAGGAAAATTCTACAAAAATTCAGGATCATTCAAGCCTAGATGGCCAAGGTAAAGATAATGTCTAAACTAACTTCTTTTGGACACATAAATTAGACTTCTTAATGTGGATCTCAACAGCTTCAGCAATATCTAGTAGTCGAACTCTTAAGGCAAAATTGAGATTCGTTGGTATGCGGTAAATGACCCTGAAAGCATGGTTAACGTCAATCTTGTGTTCTGTATCCACAAGATGAGATAGAATAGCGCCATCTGAATAGATTTCGTTTGTCCTTTGCTTAACCACACACAGTGATGTTCGGAAATTCGACAAGAAACATCTTTAATGAACAATAATTGCATTAATCTTACTTTACAAATCGATATCATTTAAAAACACCAATATTGTTATTGACTACTAATCTAGAATATTCTATGTATATAAACATATGTATATATAATTGTAGAGCCAGAAGAGGATTTTATAGAAAAGGATATTCTTTGCTCAATTTTTTTGTGTTTTATAGATGTCTGAATGAATACTTTTACTATATTTCATTATTTCCAAAAGGAATTTCATCACTTACGCACATCATTTAAAGCATTCATGAAAGTCAGGGGTTCTGAACTGCCTGCTGTTTCAGGCAGGTTTGAGGCTATATGTATTACTGATATAAGTTTAAAACTTGGGCACTGTGCTGGTAGGGTATAACTCCATTATAAATAAGATTTTATTTTGATTAAGTGTCACACAGAGTTAAACAGTAATATTATCTGATGACGACGTTTAGAGCACAAACTATCGCCAATCATAATCATATCAATAGTGCTCGAAACGTGGTCATCAGTTAATATTACTGTATGACACTGTGATTTATGAAAATAAAATCTTATCGGTAATGGAGGTTTGAGGCTGTTTGGCACTAAGTACATACAACCCTAGTAGGGGTCGAACTCAGGACCTTCAGGACTGTCCACCACTCAGCGACTGATGTGGCATCCAGCGAATTATGAATTCTAACTTATGTCAGACCAAATCAAACACGATTTCAACAACAGGCAGCCGGAAAGGATGGAGATTTCAAAGCCAGTCAGTCAGAATCAGAAAGGCAAGATACGCCTTCATTAACATAAAACCAGTTTGGAAATCCTCTTCACTCCACCTCAGCCAGCATAAAGAACAAGATTCGGATTTTCAACAAAAATGTGAAGTCTGTCAATCAGTTCTTCTATGCGGATCAGAAACTTGGCGCGCGAGTAACAAAAAGGATTTCCAACAGGTTGCAGACTTTTATCAATAGCTTCCACCACTGGCTAGCCCCATACTGTAGATCAAATGGCCAGTTGGCCAGAAAGAATTAGCAACCAGAAACTGTGGAATCAATCCAGCCAATAACCGATTACTCAGCAAATAAGTAGGATTCTCTTCACTCATCTTCTTGTCTACCTTTGTGTGCTATTTGGAACGTGGCAACTTGAACTGTTGCAATTTGGTGTCAAGTTCTATGTTGAATCCAGACAGACAGAAATGTGTAACAGAAAATGAACGTGGATCTGGCATACATTGAGGAAACCGTTGAATGACATCGCGCGCTAAGCCAGTACTCGAGTGGAATCCAAATGGGAAGTGACGAGTGTGTCGTCGGTGCGAGGGTGATGTGGAGGAGACATGTGGGAAAGGAGGATATGAGAGATTATGAGCAATCGTGGGTCCAGCTGAAGAGGAGGGAAGAAAACAAAGAAAGTGTAGATGTCTTGTTGAAGTCTCGTATGTTCCACTTGGAACCCAAGGGAATAATAATAATAATAATACAATCTACTTTGACCATAATTTTATAGATCCAACATCCCCTATAATTTACACATCAGCTTCGTTTTTGACACTTTATTCTACTGACAACTTTATTTTGTGGGATATTTTGATCACGAAATTTCTTACAAAGAAAAAGTTTAATAATCAACAAACTTTATCTATGATGTTGGTTGTATTTAACTACAGAGCCAAAAACGCAAGAAATGCTTCTATAATTATAATTAAATAAGAAATATAGCAAAAATATTCATTCAGACATCTATAAAACACAAAATAATCGAGCAAAGAATATTCTTTTCAATAAATTCCTCTTCCAGGCTCTACACTTATATATGCATATGTTTATATACATAGAATATTTTAAATTAGTAGTCAATAACAATATTAGTGTTTTTTTAAGTACTACCGATTTGTAAAGAAAGATCACAATGGAGTTACAGTTCATTAAAGATGCTTAAATTGTAATATGCATAAAAATATAATAGCAAATAGAATATCAACTAAAATTAGGAAAATTCCACAAAAATTCAGGATCATTCAAACCTAGATGGCCAAGGTAAGGATAAAGTCTGAACTAACTTCTTTCGGACGCACAAATTAGGCCTCTTAATATGGATCCCAACGGCCTCAGCAATATTTATTAGTCGAACTGTTAAGGAAGAATTGAGATTCGTAGGTATGCGGCAAATGACCCTGAAAGCATGGTTAACATCAATCTTGTGTTCTGCATCCACAAGATGAGATAGAATAGCGCTGCGAAGAGATTTTGTTTGTCCTTTACTTAGCCACGCAGGGTGATGTTCGTAAATTCGACAAGAAACATGTATAATTGTACTTCCTATGTAACTGGCTCCACAGCAGCAGTTAATTTGGTAGATACACATGGAAGAGGCGGAATTAGGCAGTTTATCTTTTGAAGACACGGTTTATCTCAGCACCACTGAATGCTCCTTTTACCACATTCATATGGCTTTGTGTTAGTAACTCACTGATGTTATCCCCAAGGAACTGAAATTGTAAGAATAAGGTCTTTTTTAGGAACTGTTGGTACTTTGGGCTGCTTTGATTTTAGATTCATATTCTTACCGATAAACTTTTCTGGATAACCACTTTCACTCAACAACCATTTAATATTATTTTGTGTTTTATAGATATTTGAATGAATATTTTCGCTATATTGAAGTAAGAGATAGTCAAACGAATCAATAATTTTTTCCACAGTTAAATTAGTTATTCTTCAACGAAATGTTAACGACTAAATATGGCAACTGCAGTCGGCATTATGGTCTGCTTACAGACATAACTGCCAACACCGTCTAAAACAGGCCGTATGTGATTAACCTGAAGTGAATGTCCCCAGGGTTCTTCATTCACGCTATACTATCTGTCTTTCTGTTTCCTGTATTCAACGCAGAAATCAACTTCCATGGTGTGAGCACACACTTGACCTATACATTTTTATCACCTCTAGGCTTCAATTAGAATCAAGAAGTCAGTTAATGGATGATGAATAACAGTGGAATCCTGTGTGCTCATTTCGTTGTATTTGAGACTGGTCATCTGAATGCACCTGCATTCCCCGGTGAGTGATGGTGTTACCACCGAACCTCAAACACAGTGCCCATAGTTTCAAACTCCAAAGCGTTATGCACTAAACCACGACAGCCGCCTCTTGTGCAACGGGTCTTATTAATTATTTGATTTGATTTTTTTAGATTTTCCCGTCGACTGATGGGACTGAAGTGCTCGGTCTCAGGCTGACGTGTTGGATCCTTATGCAGATGCTTCGATCATGTCTGATCATGTAACTTGAAGTCAGTCATTGGATGGTGACTAGCAGTGGAATCCAGGATGCGCATTTCGTTGGTGGGAACACCATCACTCACTTGGGAATGCAGGTACATTCAGCTAGTTGACGAGTCCCAAATAGGACGAAATGCGCATCTTGGTAGATTCCACTTCTAGTGATTATTATTATTATTATTATTAGTTACCATCCACCAACTGACTTCAGGCTACATGACTAGATATCATCAAAGCATCTGCACAAGAAGCCGACAGACATGTAAACCTGAGACCAAACACTTCGGTCCAATTAATCGACAGGAAAATCTTTAAAAAATGAATTAAATTAGAATCTTCAAAATAATAGTTACTGTAAAAAGAGTACTCTTTTCGATAAATTCATCATTAGGCTATACAATTATGTATACATTATATTGAATGAATGAATTAGTGTTATGAACAACATTAATGTTGTTTAAATAACATTGAATCAATAATAATATCAATGGATTACAGTTCGACAGCATCAGCATAAAAATAAACTGAATGTCAGAAAAGCAAATTAAAAAAGATAATAATACAGAAATCAGGAGTTTATAGTCTCTACTGAAAGACAGGGCAGTAGTAGGGGCTGGACTTGCTTCTTTTGAACACACAGCGCTGGTTGTTTCACGTGAATTACGATAGCCTCTACTGTTTGGAGTATACGGTACCTGGATGTATTTGGCAATTTATTTGGTACTCCATAGATTAAAGAGAGAAGGATTCTTCAATGCTGGCTGGCTTTGTGGCCGGTTTGGTCCAGGTGGTCTAATATCGAACTGTTAATGGTTTTTGCTGCACCTTTACTTAGCAATACTGGGAGATGTTCTCGAGCGAGCACGAAAAGTCAAGTTCCTTGAGCAACGGCCAATATAACTCGCTCCACAAGCGCAGGTGAATTGGTAGATACAATTGGAAGTGGTCAGTCTAGGTACTTCATCTTTCAGTCGAGGAATCACCTTCGGTTGTGTAGAGAATAAGACGTGTAGTTCGCCAGCATTAAAAGTTCTTTGAATCGATTTTTCTTAATTTCTTCGTAATTATTTCGCGCTTAGTATAACGCCCTTGAATTGCACTCGTATGCATATAAAGACTTCTTGGGCTTTAATGGGCATTTTTAATCAGTTAAATTAGAATCAGTTTAAGAATTCCCTCTATTTTTTTTACATTATCACCAGTTGTATTTTAACTGTTTTTTTATTCTAGGGAAGAATTTGTGATTTACCAGCAGATCGTAAAGTGAATCCATTACTGGCAAAACTTGCAAATCGTCCATATAAATTTACTCGTTTAGATAATAGAAAATTAGAAATGAGTATTTTTGCTCATGAAGCTACAATAAGCAAGTATGTCTCATTGGATTTATATATTTATATTGAGGAAATCAACAGATATTTATAGCTTTTCATGTACATTATTATAGATTATTGTTAGCAGACATACATAGTGTTCTGATTGGTTGTTTCCAGCTGAAAGTTAATCTTTCATCTCTTTGCGGCTGTTTCTTGAATGTCAGATCATCTATGTGCTAACTGTATCCGCCTACGCAAAGTCTGCTCTGGTTGGTCGTTGAGTTAGTCTTTGTTCTTGTTTTTTTTTCTCATGACCAATAATTGGGACGTAGACATTGACGTAAATTACTGTCTGCCAATTTTGGCTAGCAGACAGATCTCACCATATATATATATATATACATATACAAAATCAATACTTGAAAATCTAAAAGCTCACCTCAATTTAAATTGAAGTAAGCCCTGAAGAAGTTGCCTAGTCGGGCAGTGATGAAAGTTTTCGCAAATAAACTATCCAGCTTGCTCAGAGAACACAACTACATCAAAATGGTCTTCCTTTTGTGTGAATATAATTTCTCCTTTCATCTCGGAGTTCGCTCTCAATTCAGTAGCAGCAGGGAAAGTCATCTAATATTTGTATAACACTGGCGACAGACAGACGATGACAATGATTCCCATGGTTATATTAGTTAGTATATTCTCTTGTCAAGCAGTAATTTGAGAAAATCTAAAGGGAAGACCTTTTCTAAGACTCCTTGAGAAATCTCCAAAAGTCAATGCAACGATCAGTAGTCAAATAAACCTCAGATTTAGGACATTCAGTCACTCGAGATGACACCGGGAAACCACACACTATAACATCGAAATTGTTCCATGAATACTTGTAGAAAAATACGCCAAACTTAATTTCTAATGAAGTAAAAGTGAGGGTGACCTCGACAGTGAAATATCCACCTGTTTCCACCTTTACTTTACTCTCTAAACCTCTGAAGTCAATCAAGACCGCTTCTATCTTAGATGAAATTTAACCAAAATGAAGATATTGGCGGACACTAGTGATTGTCACCACTTCAGATGATAACTCCTAGTAAACTCTAGTGCCTTGATTAGTTGGATATACTTATTCGGTACTCATTTCACTGACAGAAATTGTCCCAGTACCTCTCAGTCGATACAGTCAAATGCCTACTTCAGGTCGGAAAATATCCCAGGTGTTGTACTCCGTTAACTAGGCCTATGTTCCACAACCTACTGAAGGGTAAAGATAGAATTAATCCAAACAAATTGGGTCCAATCGGTTAGGATATCAGAACATTTTTAGATAAGGCAATAAGAAGATGTAATTTGTCTGAATCGTGTATTGTATGCATTTGCACAACACATTTCGAACAATTTGATCATACACACAAGACAGCTTTAGTAAGGTGCCTCTTCAGTAGAATCCAACGGATATGCACTGAAGACACACTTGATGAAGAAGAAAGAAAGTTGACACAAACTTTTAGTTGATAACAATTATCCAGATAAGTTCATCAGGAGATATAAAGTAGTCAGTGGAACACCAAGACCCACTCTACAACTCGCCCCTAAGAAAGACGTGTACATCAAACTACCCTATATGGGGCATCATAGCAGCTTGATAACTAGACAAAGATTGAACGCTGCTGTTGAAAAGACGAATTTTTATGCAGCTAATATCATAATAATTGAGAATGTGAAGCCAATATATCCATCCATCTAAGCCCTTTGAACATGCGAAAAATAATGTCACATCCCAGTGTATTTACCAATTTGAATGTACGTGTGGACACACATACATAGGGAGGACTCATCGATCTCTGCAAGTAAGAGCTGGCTTCAGAGCATATTCATTAATGGCTCCAAAAACAAATGGAATCTTCAGAACCCATTAGTGGTGAGAAGAGGAGACCTAGCTCCTCTATTGCGAAACATATTATATAGAGACAGGACATAAAATTGACGTTAACACATCTTTTAAACCTATCTATCCATAAAACGTGTTTGGGGAGTATCCAAAAGTTTGTGAAAGCCCTAGCTGGCAATTAGGAAGTTTAAACCACCTTTATGCGTTTAAAGCAACAATTCGTCATCACGTTAAACCTTCCTTGGTAAATTTTGTTTTGATACCATAGCAGATGTACTATTACCTCTGCTATTTGGCATAGTGGTCTGCATTGTTATTTCGGCCTTCAATATGTCCTTCTTTAAACTTGACCTAAATCTATTTTCTCACCTCTTAACTCTTTATTAATTTCATATATATTCCTATGACAAGTCCGTGTGTGATCAGATTGTTCGAAATTTGTTGCACGCAAATACACAATACACGATCCAGACGAATAACGTCTTCTTATTGCTTTGTCTAAATTCATAAAGGGAACTAATTGTTTTAAATTTTTAAAGAGAACATTTTTACTTCTTCAATATTTTTATTTTGAATTTCCATTTGTAAAATTAAAAAGTTAAATTGACCAGGCTAAACTACTTTTCGTTTTTTGAAAAAACAAAATTCACCTTTATTAGATTGGCTATTCATCCAATCAAATCATGGTTATGCTCAATTAGTGATGATAAATCATGGAAACTATGGAAAATTCCAAAATTGGAATGTTTAATGGAGTATAAACTAACAACGGATTGGATATCATCTGTGGATTTTCATCCTACTGATGAGATTCTAGCCACGGGGAATGGTAAAGGCAGTATTCAGGTGAGTTGTGAAAATACATTTAGATATATTGACCTTGATGACGAACAATTTTCTTCTCAATTTTGATGTGGAATGCTTTATTTCTCGAGATGTCTGTTCTAGCGGTTGCTCAGATCTCGATATTACGTCCCCAGTGGAACATAGGGCTTCAAGGTGGAAGCTTGGAGTTTCGGTAGCAATGGTGTTTACCTTTACTGGATGAGGTTGCTAGCCTCATGCCCAGCCTTCCCTCTTTACCAGTATTATTACTGGCTTACCGAGGTATTGGAGTGTGTCTGCGGCTAGGGATCGAACCCCGAACCACATGAGGCGTGGTTGGTGAGCATTCTACCTCTGCACCACCGATGTGATATCAATGTAATCAGAGCTTAAAGCTTATTCTCCAAAGCGTCATAACAGTTACGTGCATTCAGTTTACTAGTGCTTTCCACATGGATAAGAGAACATACTTCACTGTTGTGTTACAAGGGAGAAGCGAAGAGAGTGAGAAGCTATATTCTACTTCTATGACTCAAGCAATCCAGATTATGATTTTAAGATTGCTTATCGACTTCATGTTAATTTGCCGAGTTTTCTTCGCTTGAAAATTCTACAGAAAGCGGAGGCACTGACCATTGCTGAATTCAAGCTAGATATATTCATGTGTAACAACAGAAGGCAGAACACTGAAGACAACGTATATTTTTCATTGATCTAACAGCTGTTTATATATGTACATTTTATATTCTTTAACTAGTCACTGAGTGTGCGTGTGATTTTGGTTTACATCAAAGGACATGGAATAGAATGTTCAATTATATACATAGTATTCTGTTGCCAATACAGTATTGAATTGTGGGAGTAACATTCAGACTCTAACATCAAATAGAATGTTCAGATAATTATTATTATTGTTATTATTATTATCTCCTTTAATTCCTAGAGGAACATAGGGATTCAGCCGCACGTCTCCATTGCATTCGGTTCTCTGCTAAAGTTTTCACCTGGCTCCAAGTTTGCCCACATGCTTTCATCTCCTCTTCACATGACCTCCTCCATGTCACTCTTGCACTGACGACCAACTCGCCGCTTCCCTTTCGGGTTCCACTCGAGGGCTTGTCTGGTGATGTCACTTGATGGTTTCCTCAGAGTATGGCCAGCCAATCCACCTCCATTTCTTCCTGCTTATTTGTTGCACAATCGGTTCCTGGTTGGTTTGCTCCCAGAGATCTCTGTTGCTGATCTTTTCTGGCCGGCCATGTGATCTTGAGTAGTATTGAGTGAAGACAGGTGTTGATGAAGGTCTTTAGTTTGTTTGAGATGCTCTTTATGACGCGCAGTGCAAGTCTCTGATCCGTATAGTGAGTAGCACAGACTTCACATTGGAGTTGAAAATTCGGATCTTATTTTTCATGCTGAGTGCTGTTGATCTCCACACAGACTTGAGAGTAATGAAAGCTTGTCTTGATTTTCCGATCCTTGCTTTTATATCCTCGTCAGTTCCACCTGTAGTTGAAACGACGTATATATGGATATATTGTATTTTGTTTCGAATGCCGAAATGAACTGTGGGAATATGTGAGAGTAATATTCTGTTGGCATATATTGTCTGTATCACACCACCACACATGACAATCATTATATTTCTTGACCTAAAGGCGGCATTCGATTCTGTCGACCGGGAGGTTCTCTGGCGATGCTTGGCTGTAAAGGGAATGCCGAGAAAATACATCGCACTGATTAAGGCACTCTACTCGTACTCATGCAGCCAGGTGAGGGCTTATGGCGAGTTGTCATCTGAAGTGGTGACGACTAGTGGCGTCCGTCAAGGATGCCCATTATCTCCATTCCTATTCAACTTCATCATAGATGTACTAATGGACTTAACCCTAACTCACTTCAGCGACTCAGGGATTGACTTGCTACCAGGGAATAATCTCGTTGACTTAGAATATGTGGACGATAAAGTCCTTCTAGGCGAGGACTCTGACAAAATGCAGAGTCTACTGAACACCTTGAGCCGCAATCTAAGAATGTTTGGCATGCGATTCGCCCCTGTAAAATGTAAGATGATGCTGCAGGATTGGACTTCACTGACCCCTAGATTAGAAATAGTAAGTGAAGTAGTAGAGCACGTTGACCGCTTCAGTTATTTGGGAAGTACCATCAGCCAGTGCCAACGGGTTCATCTCTGACGAAATCTCAGCACGAATACAGAAGGCTCGCTTTGCATATGCCAGTTTACGCCATCTCTGGCGAAGACGTGATATCCGGCTGTCGACCAAAGGATGTGTGTACTGCTCAGCAGTCCACTCCGTCCTCCTTTATGACTGTCACTGAGACATGGCCATTGAGAGCAGAAGACATGAAAAGATTAGCTGTCTTTGATCATAGGTGTCTGCGTTCTATCTCCCGCGTGAAGTGGTATAATAAGGTGAGCAATATTGAGGTTAGGCGTCGAGTGCTAGGTAAGCAGGGAAAATCAGTCGACGAAACTGTGAAATTACATCGACTGAGATGGTTAGGACATGTGTTAGGCATGCTAGCCTAGTCATCGCCTTCCTCGACGGGCAATGTTAGCTGATATAGGGCCAGGCTGGAAAAGAGCTAGTGGCGGTCAAACGAAAGCATGGCATCAGTCAATGAAATCCACAACAGTTAGTCTAAGCCACGTAGGGATATGTAGACTTCCTGGTTGGGGTCCTCGGGACGGTAAACATCAATTATGGTTGGAGACAATCGGTGATACGGCTCAAAATCGTTCTCAATAGCTGGCGCAGATGCATCCACTCCTTGTGACTTATGATTTCCAATTAAACTGTTTTGTTCTCTGTTATTACTATTCCTTTGTCTCACACCTCTGTTTACTGTCTATATTATGCATTTCTCCTACTTTCTTCTCTAGCTTTGTGTGCTGCATGGATTGTTGCGACTTGAATTGCCGCACATATGTGCAAAGTTCTATGTCGAAAACAGACAGACAGACCACACATGTACTAAAGAAGTATGTACAGTCTGCATTGCTACGGTGATCGTAGAGGGGATAAGCACTTATTTATTCTTCTTTTTGTTTATTCAGTCCGTGTACCTTTCTCTTATCACTACGATCATTATTATTCTCATTTTGAACTGTCTCCAGTATTATTTCACTTGTCCCATTTGTTATTTTAAATCAGTACTTGTTTACAAGAATGTAAAATTCTACCTTGTCAAATTTTACATCACATTACGTAACGTTTTGATCGCCTATTAATCCTATAATTTCACACTACCTTCCGATATCTATTACTATTATTCCCTTAGTTTCTGAGTGGAACATAGGGCTTCAACAACACATCTCCACTTTCTTCAATTGTCTGCCGTCCTCTTCAGATTATACCCGAAAATGGCCCATACTCCCTCATCTACCTCTCCCCAAACGATCTGCTCCATGTCACCTTCGCACCGAAGACCCACTCGTCGCTTCCCATTCGGGTTCCACTCGAGCAGTGGCCCAGGGCGTGGTGTCATTCCATGGTCTCCTCAATGTACGCCCGATCCATCTCCATTTTCTCCTACACATTTGCTGAGCAATCGGCTATTGGTCGGTTTGATTCCAGAGTTTCTTGTTGCTAATTCTTTCTGCCCGGCTGGCCATTTGATCTTCAGTATGGAGCCAGCCAGTGAAGGTGGCAGCTGTTGGTGACAGTTTGCAACTTGTTGGAAATCCTTTTCATGATACGCAGTGCAAGTTACTGACCCGTGTAGAAACACCGACTTGACATTGGTGTTGGAAATGTGAATCTTGTCCTTTATGCTGAGGCGGAGTGCAGAAGATTTCCAAACTAGTTTCAGGTTGATGAAGGCGTATCTTGCCTGTCTGATTCTGGCCGACTTTGATATCTTCATCCATTCCGACCGCCTTTGGTTGGAACAGTGCTTCCTGAGTGGATAAGTGACGGATACAACTTCTATTATATTTCTCCCGTTGGTGGTGATCGGTGCTGGCTGTTGTTGTTGATGATGATGCGGTTCGTTGGTTATCTTCATCACCTCCGTCTTCTCCATGTTCACCTGTAGACCCCTCTTCGCTGCCAGCCAGCATCTTCAGGCAGTTTCTTAGTTTTCACCTGCATTTCTCCAAGATTGTGTTAATACTACAACTGGTAATTTAATCACATAAGAATCAGCATGGCACGTTATGAATAATAATAAATCGTTTTTGTGCAGACATGGGTGGGAGCTTAGGTTTTGCGAATAGATATCGACTCTGTGTATTTCATCAAGCTCCCCTGATGGCTTCTATAAATAATCTCGAAACCTGCGTTGATACCAGTCTTGTGGCTCATAGCAGTTAATCGTTCAGCTATGTATGAAGTTGTTGGTCTATTACCTGTGTGCGTGTATCGAAGCTTCACAACTGTCTGAAAAGGTCCATATACAAAAAGCCTACATGGACTGGACAATTTATCAACTTTCAAAGCTTTGTGCCCTTAAGCAGAAAGAGGAACCTGATGTACGCTCTTTCCTCAAGGATTCGGAAGATATGCAGTGAGAAAGTGATTGATGAAGAACTGAGTTATCTCCGAGGAACCCTGACGGAAAACGTTCTTCTACCCAGGTTCATAGACAAGAATCTCAAATCAAAGAAAACTTCCGAACGAGTCCAATCCGTCCTAAAGAAGATACTTCTGCTTAATCTAGAATTCAAAGGTGACATTCAAGCAGAAATCCTTCGTAAACGCCTTTCCAAATCTCTGAGGAAAACATACTTCGACGAGAGCCTACGAATGACGTTTTCCAGCGAGAAACTGTTCAATCAGACAGCGAAATACAAGCTGTCGCATTGGGCCACTTCAACAAACAAATACCAGTTTACTGCTCTTGTGGAGCTGAGTACATCGACTGTTCCATGCGCCAACTTGAAAAACGCACTCGTGAGCACTTTCCAGCCTGGCTAGTTAAAGGAGAATGAAAACGTGTATATAGTTCAGTGACAGAACATCTGGTCAATTCAGGACATTCAGCGCCATTCAAAAAATCCTTCAAAACAATATAAAAGATTCGATCAAACCTATCAAAGGGAGTAAAATTAAGACATCTGGGCATAGCCGAGGCACTAGCCATCCAAAAGCTCAAACCCACGCTATGTATGCAAAAGAAATACATCCAACCCTTGTCACTGCAATGGCCATCATAAACAGGTAATTCTTCTAGTGGTGACTATCCCATTGCCTTTCTTACCCAAACTTCCTGTTTATTCATGTTATTTTTAAGTTCTTCTTAATCCCTCCACTATTTACACTACCATGTTTTCATATCCGAACTTCCTGTCTATTTTGTCATTTTATTATTTCTACATATGTAATCCCTGATTGCATAAACAATTATTCGTCACGCTAGTTATAATCCTACTAGATTTTTATCCAAACATCCTGTCTATTTTTGTTACTTCTACATTTCTAAGCCCGAATTGCACAATCAATATCAATCTTCTCAGTAATTATGATGCTACTTTGTTTGAGCTTTATTCCTCCTCTTGTTTTTTATGGCATTTTAATTCGTAATTGTAATTTTATTAATTTGATCCTTGACCACAAATTATTCTGGAACTTTCTTACCCATTTATTATAAATTCACAATTGTACAGCCTAGTTGATGACTTCGTCGAAAAAAATTTTTCTTTGCTGCAATCGTCTGTTTTATCGATGTTATAATTCTACTTTACTATTCACCCCCACCAATATCTTGAACTCTCCACCATAATATGTAAGAGTTAACCTTGTTGTTCTATCTTGTAGTTTGTCTCTAGTCCATTCCTGTTTCCAAGCGAAATCTGAACTGTAGCTCAAGCCCTTGTTTAATTATTATATAAAGTAGTTAATCTTTTAACACTGAATCATTTTTCTACTTACATCATCTTTGAAATTATTTTGCTCATTCCTTCGATCTATAACTTGAAGTCATAGTAAAAAGTGTGTTCAGACAACATTTCGTAAAATATAATTGAATTTATTTAGGATGTAGACAGTTGAAGAGAACCCGCGAAGTAAAATGAGGACGAATTATCAAAACTGCAGATATGTTCGTTCTTTAGAAGTCAATTAGTGGATGGTGACTAGCAGTGGAATCCACAAAAATGCGCGTTTCGTCCTATTTGGGACTCATCATCTGACTGGATGTACCTGCATTCCCCAGTGAATGATGGTGTTGTTCCCACCGAGGCTCAAACCCACTGCCGATAGTTTCAAACGCCGAAGCGTTATCCACTAGACCACTTGGGCCACGAGAACCACCTCTTGTGCAACGGGTCATATTAATCAAAATCTAAAAGAATTGAACTGAATAATTAATATGACCCGTAACATAAATTTAGTTGCTTCTACGGAAAGAGCTATCAAGGGGGAACAAATAGACAGCTCAACAAACGCATTAATGAGCATCTTCCTTCATGGTTCGGAAAAGGTCAAATAAAATCTATACGAAGTTCTATTTTGGCTCATTTGATTGATAGTGGTCACCAAGTGGATAAAAATAGTGCCTTCAAAGTTATCCATCGCATTCCATCGAGCCTTTCGAACGGAATTCGAAACTGCCAGTTAAACACATAGCTGAAGCTATGGGAATTAATTCGAGAGAACAATCCTAGTCTTTGCATACAACAAAAATGTTTGTTCTACCTTTGTCTCTCCCTTGTCATAGGAGGTAAATTCTATTCAAAACTCTTGCACACACTTCCTTATTTTCGTACTTTAATGATACTTATTTAAACTCTATTTATCTGTCCACTTCACCTTTAGTATTACGTCACTTTTAAGATTTGACCAAATTTATTTATTGAATTGTCTACATATATACATATACTACCTTTGTTATTCTTACCGCCACCTGCATAAACCTTATTATCAATATTTTGTTATCATTATAATCACCATTATTAACTACGTTCACAACATTTAACACATTACTATTATTATTATTTGATCCACAAAATCACCGTCATTGGTTAAAATTTTATATATAAATCTATGTAAATTAGAGTAAAGCCTGAAGAAGAAGATCTAATAGAAAACAACAATATTGTTCGCTTATATGTTTTGTTTTAAAAACTTTGTCCAATCATATGAGTCATGAATCAGTCATCAAAATATATTTAATAAACAAAATTGTATGAGCTGTGATCAAAATTTCACCTCGGACTTACAAATATTTGTTTAATACTTTAAATAGAGTGTACCTTTCGTCTGAATTTTAGTGATTACGTTCGACTGAAAGTTCATGGTCGGAGATAGCTGAATATATGTGTAGGTGCAGTATACAGTGGTGTGTGTGTATGTGTGTATGGGTAAACAGTTGTAAAACATTTGTTAGCCTCTCCATAAGAAGATATAGACAATCGGGAATTTTGACCAAGTATGATTATTTATTGATACATATCCATCTTTTTATTTATTAATCAGGATTTGCCATACATCAACTAACATTCCACCTTCACGTCTGTTCAAAATGTTACTATCTAGAATTTTATGGTGAAACATATTTCCAAAATTATGGTGTTTAGGATTATTATTGTTTCCTTTAATTCCTACAGGAACATAGGGCTTCAGCCGTGCGCCTCCATTGCGTTCGGTTCTCTGCTAGAGTCTTCACCAGGCTACACGTCTACCCACACGTTTTCATCTCCTCTTCACATGACCTCCTCCAAGTCACCCTTGCACTGACGACCAACTCACCGCTTCCCTTTCGCGTTCCACTCGAGCAATGGCTTGTCTAGTGATTTCACTTGATGGTTTCCTCAGAGTATGGCCAATCCACCTTCATTTCTTCCTGCCTATTTGTTTCACAATCGGTTCTTGGTTGGTTCGCTCCCAGAGATCTCTGTTGCTGATCTTTTCTGGCCAAAATTCTTCTTTAAACTTAAATATTATTGTTAATGACAATCTTTAATTCTGGTATAACCATGACAGATAAGATTCCATCAATATTGGGAATTCGGATTCAAAATGATTTCATATTTTTGGTTGCTCTATGCCCGCGTTCTCGTATAAACGTTATAGTTGCGGAATGAGCTGCTTGAATCAACCTACTGGAGTTGTCAGGTGACTTGACAGCTACGGATTTAGGAAATACATTCTGATGCAGACAACGGAGTTTGAAAACACGATGATTGTGCCAATTACACAGTTTCTTTGTTAATTTAATTCGATAGCAAAATAATTCAAATGAACTGTGAGCAAGATTTGTCAGAATAGTTCTAAGATATTTGGGCGCCGATTGAGAAGTAGACATTTGTAAATCTCAGTGGAACTGAAATAAGTAATTCCAACCTTTCGTTCAGCACACTGGTCGGAACTTGTTCAGGGAAATAAATCGAAATTGTATGCCTATATGCAAATGAATTTTGCTGCGATAGCCGTAAATTTTTCTAGGTTTTTCCTGGGGTCAGTGTTTCTAGTTCTAACTAAATGTTTATGTTCTGATAACCTAATTGACTGTGATCTACTAGACTGACCTATTTAATTGACGTCACAGTCATTGCATGGTATTCGGTAGATTATAAGGTTTTTGGGTTACAGAATTTCATGATGAGCTGACATCGGTTAGAGAACCATTGTAAAACCTATGAGTACTACCGGACATCTGTTTCGTCCTAGTTTGACACTCTTCAACAGCACACTTCGAATCCCGATGGGTGCGTACTGATGAAGAGTCCCAAACTAGGCTGACGAGACAGCTGTTTTGGTAGTACTCACAGGTTTTCCAAAGTTTCTCTAACCGATGTCAGCTCATGAGTAAATCCTGTAACGAATCAAACAAATCCCTACAAACCAGTACTTGTATATGATTTTTCTCAGTTGTATTTCTTAGGTCCTTAAGCCAACAAATTCTGTTTCTGAGTGAGTTTGTCGGCTGGTTTAAATGTTAACTTAATTCCAGCCTTATTGAGAATCCTACGCCAGGCCTATGCTATTCCTTTGTTATGTAGCATCACTATCGAGCCTTCAAATTCCTTATTATTATTATTGCTTCCTTTAATTCCTATAGGAACATAGGGATTCAGCCGCACGTCTCCATTGCGTTCGCTTCTCCGACAACGTTTTCACCCACCACTTCTGCCCACATGATTTCATCCCCTCTTCACATGACCTCCTCTCTCCATGTCACCCTCACACTGACGACCAACCAACTCGCCACTTCCTGTTCGGGTTCCACTCAAGCGATGGCCTGGCGTGTGATGGAATTCACTTGATGGTTTGTTTTCTCAGAGTATGGCCAATCCACCTCCATTTCTTCCTGCATATTTGTTGTACAACTGGTTCCTGCTGATTTGGTTGGTTCGTTCATTGCCAGAGATCCCTCCCTGTTGCTGATCTTTTCTGACCATCTGATCTTGAGTAGTGTAACGATAGAAGATAAGGGCTTGGCAACAGATCGTTTATTAAGAAAATCAACAGATATTTATATTTTTATGTACATTATTATTCGTTATTTTAGCAGAGAAACAACGTCTTCTGATTAGTTCTTCTTGTTGAAGGTTTTTCTGTCATCCCTTTTTTGCCGTTTCTTAGACAGTCCGTTGATATATCTGCGAATCGTATCCGCCCACGCTAAGTCTGCTGTGATTGGCTGTTGAGTTAGTCTTTGTTCTTCTTCTTTGGGACATAAACATTGACGTAAATTGCTGTCTACCAATTTTGGCTAGCAGACAGCTCTCACCACAGTAGTACTGAACGAAGACAGCTGTGGATGAAGGTCTGTAGTTTGTTCAAAGTGCCCTTCGTGACGCGGCGCAGCGCCAAGTCTCTGATCCGTATAGTAGGAGTTTAAAATACGGATCTTATTTTTCATGCTGAGTGCTGTTGATCTCCACATAGACTTAAATTCCTTATCACTTTATGTAATAATAGTCTTATATAAGGCTATATGCTCATCACAACAAGTTGTATGCCGTGCTCTAATCTGTTACCTGTTAATTCTTCTTTCTAATCACAGATTTGGAAAATTCAACTTGGAGAAGAGGAATCAAGTCAAAACAACACTAAACGAATCGGCTTACTACGACAACATGCAGGTGCTGTATGGTCAATCAACTGGCATTGGTGTGGCAATTATTTAGCCAGTTGTGGTATGGATAATACAATACGTCTATGGAATGTTGAATATGCTACACTGGCGTATGCTACAATGAATAAAGGTTTGATGAATTCATATTCTTGTGGATCTTGTTGTACAATCCTTAGAGGACATAGTAAATCTGTGAATTCTGTACAATTTGTACCATATGGAAATATATTGGTCACAGGTTCATCTGATAGAACAGTCTCCTTATGGGATGGTCGTACGGTAAGCACAACTGATTGAATTGATTCTTCTTCTTATTATTATTATCAAAACTTAAATAGGGTGTGTACTGATGAAGAGTCTCAAACTTGGCTGACGAAACAGCTGTCCAGTACTCCTAGATTTTCCAGTGGTTCTCTGTCTTTCTCTTCAAAGAGGAATTAATACTCGTTCCCCTTCTGAATATCTAGTTTGAGTCGGATTTTATCACCTACAGAGTCATTGAAAAACAAAGAGAAGTGAACAGATGTTTCGTCCCATTTAGAGAGTCTTCATCAGTGTGCACCCATGACTCCTACAGAGATAAGACACAGTTCCATCACGTTACAAGTCGAATACACTGTACTAACTGTTGAATTCTAAGTTAATTCTAAGCAAAACGGTGACCCATTGCTAACAGCTACTGTTTAAACTCCCTGGTTTTCAATGGTTCTCTAAATGATATCAATCCGTGATCAACTCGTAAAAAGATAACTAACCCTTACAAAAACGAACTATAGAAAATTAATCTGATGCTCGCTAGTGACTTCCTACAGGACGGAGTTTCCTGGAGTTCTAGTAAGAAGTCGTGACCAGTGAGGTCCAATTAGATGTCACGTGTGTGGATGGATGTCCCACCAACGACAATGGTTGGGGTCGCGCTAAATCACGAATTGGTAGAAGTTATAATTCATGAGCTGGCCATTGAATCGGGTCCCAGTGGCTGAATGGCATACGAGCTTGCCTTGTAACCGGAAGGTCCTGGGTTAGAATCCCAGTGGGTGCGTACTGGCGATGATTCCCAAACTAGGACGAAACAGCTGTCTGGCAGTGCTCCCTGGTTTTCAATGGTTCTCTAACTGATATCAATCCGTGATCAACTCTTAATTATTTCACTGGTATCCGGTGGACATCTCTGATTCTAGTAGACTGGAAATAATATCAAGACTTTCGGTAATGCGGATACTAGTATATAATGAGTTAATATCATAGTTTACCATAATATCTTACTTATCAACTTCTCGGTGTTCTATTTGGCATTTGAAATAATGCGAATCTTTTGTAACGTTTCGAGTGTCCTTTTGCAGTGGTTTCAGTATCGAAAATAAGTACTTGGAGAGGTTGAATTTCGGTGAGTTGGGACTATGGGTTTATGTATCTTTGGTTGACTGTAGAACCTTGAGGGTAAATAAGATTTCTGTTTTAGTTTAAGCCAGAGAGAATTTGCAATTTTAGGTTTTAGTTCTTGAGGAAATCTGTTTGTAATCAGTTTTATTTTGTTGAATTCGTCAGATTTCTTCTTTCCTTCAATAAGTAAGTATGGTCCAGCGGATAGGCGTTCAACCGCCTTCTTTTCATAATCAATCCTGTCCATTACTACAGTGAATTTTCCCTTGTCGGCTTTAGTCATAACGATGCTTTTGTCTTTCTTCAAATTTCTTAGGGCCTCATATTCTTGTTTGTTGAGATTAGACTGTATGATTAGTTGTGTCATTAGTATGTGTGATATCTTTTGATGCACAGATTGTAATTCTTCATTGGTGATCAGTTGTAGAGCAAGCTCGATTATAGGTGCTATTCCCTGCATCGATAATGGCTTTCTATTAATATTGAAATTCAAACCTTTCTGTAGTGGATGGTGATTTCAAGTAGTGAAGTAATTTTTGGAGTTGTTCTCGTATGAAAACGTCAAAGTTCTACAATAGCATCCCAAGGGATGCGGGCGCACGAGTGACCTTGAGTCGACCAATCAGAAAAATGAGAGATTTTTGGACAAAAAATTACGAATATTTACATAAAAATGCATGAAAAAAGACATTAAACAGGGTATTTTTCTCTATTATGAAACAAAAATATGTCCCAGTTATAATAGAGTGTCAGTTTTTTAAATTAAACCAGTTTCTACACATATATTCATCCAGGTGACTAAAAATAACTTGGTTTCGAGAGCCATTTATTCCTCTTATCCTATTTTTTAATCTCCCCCAGAAACCCTCTATTGAATTAGTAAGAGTACCAGCTGTGGGATCGACGGAATCATCCGAATGGTTAACTCGGTGGTGTATATATCTTAAATCTGATAATCGATTACATGCTGACCATTCATCCGTGTGGAAAATAGTGCCAGGAAAAATGAGTCTCTGAATAATAGACAGAAGAGTGTCGGAATAAGTTCAATCAATCCCTTCTGAATTTGGGTGTCATAAATCCCGAATACCCAAACGTTGTTAGCTCTAGCACGACCGCGATTGTATTTCTTCTTTATCATCACTGTTTCATCTATGTGAAACGATAACACCGACTCCTCCCAACACTTGTGTAATATTGTTCATTTTCCATCAGGCTAAATCTCGACAAAACTGAAAGCACTGCACAGCTAAGGTCAACGTATTTTCTGTCTGAGTGGCTGTTGATCTCACTCCGGACTTCAAAATCCATTAATGACAAAGAAACACTATATTCGTCAAAGGAAGTTTCGATTTAGCAAAGAAAGTTCCTAGAAGACAATTAACTGAGAGTGTCACTTACCAGTACGAACACTTGTTCGTTTCCTACACTCCGTACATCTAAATATATATATATATATATCCATGAATGACTTGTGAATACGGTTGCAGGTTCATTGAAGCACCGCAACTACATATACGAGTACGTCATATCAATCCATTATCCAGACAGTATTTAAAAACGTGATCCGAAAGTGAAATTTGCACCTGAGCTCATGAACAGCGTTCATTTTTGCGCTAGAATAATCCTAGCTTTCTTTAGCCAACCACTAGCACGCGTTCAAGGTCATTTGAGCGTTCTCACTTCTAGGACGCTATTGTTGAACTTCGTGATGGAAACCTCCCTTCCAGCTGCAAACCACCACAAGGTAAGTCTCAGTTTACACTTTTTGGAGTTGAACGTTTTTAAGTCGCCCGCTTCTCAGAGTAAGGAGGCGGTATATTTGGTTATCATTTCAAATTCATTGAATGTACTAACATTGATCAAAACTCTCTCTACCTCTCTGGTTTGTTTTAATTCCAATATACTAAAGGGTCTATGTGAACATACATTTCTTGGACATACCCATTCAGTCAATCATGCTATATTCAATCAACAAGGTACTTATGTTATATCATGTGACACTGGTGGTTTTATACGACTTTGGGATTTAAGAAAGTTGAATAATTTCACATTCGGTATAAATTTACCTTCAGTAACAAAAGGCACACAACTATCTACCACTGCTACTAATAATAATAATACTCATAATAGTAATAGTAGTATAAATGAAGACGAGACGAAAACATTGCCAACTTCTTTCGACTTGAATAAATGCAGTAGAAAACCAGATCAACAATCACGTCGTCATCGTCATAATCGTGCACAAATTCCAGGGAAACAACAACAACAACAGTCTGAACAGCAACCGCATAGTGATCAACAGTATCAACACCGGCAACAGTCGAATAAAGTTGGAGTGAATCAGTTGGTTGTTGACTTGAGTGGTGAATATATTCTGGCAGCTTGTGATGATTCGAAGATTTATTGTATAGAAATATCGACTAGTCAGGTGAGTTTTACCATTTTTTCCCGCTTAGATGGATGTTTTCGAGGTTGCGGTTGTTGTTGTTGATGTTATTTTTGCCTCAGCCTCTCAGTTAGCTGATTTAACTGCGAAGCTTTCATTGTCCTCCTAGACAGCACCATCAGTGCTGACTTCATTTTGTCTAGAAAGGACATGGAAAGCATTCCATTTAAAAATATTTAGCTTAGAGGACAGTCAGTGTATTAGCAATAATGTAATCTTTTCAAAAGAATGGTTACTGAACAAAGAATATCCACATTTTCGATAATAATAATAATTTGCTTTATTCCAGAAACAGTACTAGCGGTACAGTGTGGAATTTTCAGCACATATCTACAATATTTGCATCTAATTTTATCCAACGTTTAAAAGGAGTATTTCAAAAAAATAAATAAATATAAGACAACAACAGCAAAAAACAAAAAAACACAAAAGAAATTTTTAAAAAATGCGAAAAAAAATTCCAAGAAGTAGAAAGGAAAATAAACAGCATATAATAATATTTTAGTATTTGGTAGTGGAAGCTATGATATGATTATGCATGGTGACAGTAAAGCTATAGTCATACAAGAAGTTATGAAATGATATTTAAGAATGTTTATCGCCAAGAAGATCAGTTAGTTTGGTTGAAACAACACTAAACAATCATTAAATAACATTTCAGGGTTGTTGTTTTTTTATTGTCAGGTCTAATGCAGTGTTTGTAGTGGTAGTGTGAGTAATCCTGCATAATACAAAATTTTTTAAGGTGGTGACTATGGCGTTCACAACCAATGATTGTCAGTTAATATTGCCGGAAAAGAATATAAAATAAGAAAAAACAATCACAAAAGCTAATAATTACATGATGGCTAATGACAGGGCAATTTTGTTCTACTCATAGTGCTAATATAGTCGGAACCAGTAGATACACTAAGAAGGAATACAGTAAAGTACAAAAGTAAGCCAATGTTAATGATTCAGGTAGGTAAGTATGTTTAAGAAGGTGTTCACTATAAAATACAAAGTAAGAGAGAAATAAAAAGAGCCTAAAATTATGTTATTAACAACAAAGCAAGTCATAGGTTTCACGCTTAACATTGTCTCTGTCGCTTAGAACACGGGCCAAGTATGGTATCGTTGACTTCCTGTACTTGGTTGTACGAGCATAGATTATTTTATACTCATTTCTGGTTTTACTTGATGAGATGCAAGGCGAGAGTTGGGAATAGAGGGGGTGTTGGGGACAGGAGAGTATGGTTTTTGACCATTTTTCGCATGTATTCAGATGCCTATCAACTGATGTAGTGACGAGCTGACTGAGTTTTACACCACTAGTCCTACTGACTACCTTCAACTACCCGGTCTTCATCAGGTTCTACAGTTATACACACATAATAGTGAATGAATTTTTGTCATTAACAGCATCGAATCAATAATAATGTGCGTCGCTGGCACAGTGGTTAGGACTCTCGCCAACCATGCACATGGTCCCCTGCCGACGCACACCCGATATCTATGGTCGGCCTGCAAAATCTTGGCTACCGATATCCATGCTGAAAATTCCATACTTGTACTGAAAATACAGTGTGGCATCAAGCTGTAATAAAAAATAAAATAAATACATTGAATATCAAAAAAATTAGGAAAAATAATAATACTGAATTCATGAATATATAGACTCCACAGAAGGCCAGGGCAATAATGGTGGCTAGCTGGACTTACTCCTTCTGCACACAGAGCACTTGTTGTTTCGGGAGAATCGCGATAGCTTCTGCTGTTTGAAGTACACAGTACCTGGATTATTTTGGCAGTTTGGTTAACACCTGATAGATGATGGAGAAGGACTCTTCAATATTATCCATGTGATCGGTTTGGACTAGGTGTGTAGGGGACTCACTGTCTAGCGAGCTCAATAACATAACAAGTATGCGAATAAAAATCCAAGTTAATGAGATGATAGTGTGACTATATATTATAAAAAAATACAGTAACTAGTTATATTAATTAAATGGTCACTTGAATATACAATTAAAGTCCTCGGCTACAAATTATTGATATAATCCACAGAAGCGTCCACTGCTAGAGTCGTGTCTACTGATAGAAGCTGTGTGCCGGTTGTGAAACTGTCTTCGGATGAGGATAAATCCAAAGTATACAACATGGTTATGATTGAAGCAAGTAGACAGTGTAGACCAGTGAGAAGACGTAGCTACCAACATTACACTGTATTTTTGATTGTACTCGGAAGTTATCTATATTCCAAAATGAATCGTTTTAAACAAAAATCATGTACAGTGTCTCTAATTTCAAAATCTAGCAAAAAAGTATACAATCATATTGCTACGTAATCCACAGGTGTTCTAACATCAAGCTATTGATGCTTCTAACTACACCTTTATTTAGCCACACTAGTAGATGTTCCCTAAGACATTCAGGTAGTGCATACTCTAAACAGTAAACACAATCGCGATTCGCCTGGAAACACAAGTGCTTTGTGTGCAGAAGAAACAAGCTCAGCCACTACAACTGCCCTGACCTTCGATGAAGAATATAAATTCATGAATTTGTATTATGATTTTTCCTAATTTTTTTCTGATATTCAGTGTATTGTTATGTTGATGCTATCGAACTGTAATCCACTGATATTATAATTATTATTGATTCGATGTTATTTAAACAACATTAAGGCTGTTAATAACACTAATTCATTCACTATTATATGTTTATAATTGTAGAACTTGATGATGAAATTATCGGAAAGAATATTCTTTGTTCAATAGCCATTCTTTTGAAAACTTTAATGGGCATTTTAATCCCTTAATAATGTAAATCGAGCTATGTTATACTTTCAGTGTGTAACTAAGATTGCGTGAAATTCCATATTAGTTTGTTTATAAGATGTATCACACAGTCAGTGAAACAGTATTAGTGTTTACTGGATGACGTTTTCAACACAATTTATTACTGTTCGTAATCATATCATTTGTAATCACACGACTTCGGAACTTGAGTTTTATAGTTTTCTTTGTTTTCTCCTATTTATCGTCGTAGGGGTAGTAGAATATTCCAGATATCAGACTGGACAGGTGCTGAATCATTCCTGTTACACGTATTGTCTCAGTTGATTCGATAAACAAAGCTTCTGTCATCAATCTCTCCCCCCACCCTGTTACATTAGATTTCACCACTGTCATCTTATCGCATCCAATTGTATGGTTGTAAGCAATCGCATGTAGTACTATGGCTGAACTGTTCTCTAGATTTCTTCTCTTATTCGGTTCAACTAATCTAGATTTTTATGCTCGGCAGGTCTAACTGACGGCCCCTGTTCTACTACTTAACAAGGCAGGAATAAAAGTGGTATTCAAGCCCACAAACTCAATTAGAAACAAGCTTTGTCGGTTAAAGGATCAATCCTGTGGAGCCTTTAAAACAAAACAATTTAGTTTATCTAATATCCAACCTGCAATGACTGTCAGATCAAATACATAGGTCAAATTAGTAGAACAGGAGCATTCAGACCAGCGGAGCAGTACAAAACCTAGCAAAATCTAGATTAGATAACCCTGATAATATAAGCAACCTAAAGAATAGTTCAGTTATAGCAATACATGCAATTACACACAACCATACAATAGGATGGGATAAGATGACAGTTTTAGAATCTAATACAATAGTATGGGGAGAGAAATTGGTGACAGAAGCTTTGTTTATTGAATCAACTGCAAATACGCAAAATAGGTCGATTCAACATCTGTCCACCCAGATATCTGGAATATTCTACTACCTCAACGACGACAAATAGGAGAGAATAAAGAGAACTATAAAACTCAAGAATCGAAGTCGTGTGTTCATAATTGATATGATTATGAACAGTAATAAATTTTGTTCGAAACGTCATCCACTAAACACTAGTACTGTTTCATTGACTGTGTGATATATCTAATAAACAAACTAATATGGAATTACACATATAAGAATGTTTGAATTGACACAAAACTAATGCTCAGTAATACACGTCACAACTCTGTTGAAAATAATTCAGAAATAAAGATGAAACTGCGTGAAAAGTTACTTCCTTCATAAGTATAATGTTCAACCTGAAAACGTTGTATATAAATACCACATTTACTATATTTACAGGATTTCGTCATATTATACGAGCTCGCCTTGTAACCAGAAGGTCCTGGGTTCGAACCCCGATGGGTGAGCACTACTGAAGAGTCCCAAACTAAGACGAAGCAGCTATCCAGTACTCCCAGGTTTTCCAATGGTTCTCTAACATATCAACTCAGGATGAAATCCTCCAACCAATCAAACAAAATCCCTACAAAACCAATACTTGAATAAATATTTTTCACTGCGAATGGACTATTCTTTATTTGACTGTGCTTGACGTAAGTGTGAGAGACTAGATGTGCTGTTCTTATTATTACATAATGCTTAACCAGCTTTATTAAACTTGAAGTGTTCAAGATTCAAACGAAATTTAAATTCTGATTTTCTCATTTTTATTTTTCCAGATATCAACTTTACAAGGTCATGAAGATTCAGTACAATCAATTGTATTAGATTATGAAACAAATTTCTTGTATTCAGCTTCAAATGATCAAAAAATATGTTCATGGGTGTAAACAAAATAAAGAAAAGGAAAAAAGGCGAATTCATTGAACATTGAATCTGGTGTTATTTAACTCTCTTTTCTCTTTTTAACTGAAGTGAATGTCTGAGTAACTTCTATGTTGTTATCTTTTTAAAAGCAAGAGAAATTATGTCATAAATTTACTCATAAAACAAAATACATAATCTTTTTCAATAAACTAGTTTAAGTTGACTAACTTGTTGATTTCAATATGTATACAAGTCACTGAAAATGCCTATTCAATCACGTAGAAAATAAAAGGCAATTCAATGAAGAAAATTTTCTCTATCGACGAAGTCATCTTCGCAGGCTGTACAGTCGTATTTATGCTTACCAAAAGTGTATAGTATTCTATTATTGAGTAATTCGGGGGTGAAATAAGTGATATAATTACTCAAAAGTGGCTTTAAAAGTAAAAGTAAAAGTTATAAATTACGTAGTTCTCAATGGCACAAAGGAAGAAAGTGTTAGAAATTTGATAAGGTTAAAATTGTTACTGAGTGAGAAAAAAGGTAGTTGACTGTCCATTTATCAAGTGTGAAAAGGGTGAGAAAGTGTACAAAAAAACATGTGAGAGTGATAATAGTGGAATTAATTATTAAAGTAAAAGCAAAGTGGTCATTAAAAATAAAATATAAAAAGGTTAGAGGGAACAACTAATGAAAAGGTTAGGACCATGGTAGGATACGAAACTGGACAACCTTTTTTTCTGTATACAGATTTCGGGGTTGTATTGATGAATTGCCAACCCCTCCATACACAGATACCTAAAGCTGACGCCGTTTGTACCATATACACGCATACTCATTGGATCATCTGTTATAGGGAATCAACCTGTCTGTTAGCCAAAATTGTAGACAAAAAGTGACGTCAACGTCTAGATTTTGAATCGGAGTCGTCAGAAAAAAACAAGAACAAAGCTTAATTTTCTATAGTTTGGTTTGTAAGCGGTAGTTATGTTTTTACGAGTTGATCACGGATTGATATCAGTTACAGAACCATTGAAAACCAGGTAGTACTGGACAGCTGCTGTTTCATTATAGGTTGGGGTCGCGCTAAATCACGAATTGGTAGAAGTTAGAATTCATGAGCCATTGAATAGGGCCCCAGTGGCTGAATGGTATACGAGCTTGCCTTGTAACCGGAAGGTCCTGGGTTCAAATCCCAGTGGTTGCGTACTGCCGATGATTCCCAAAACTAGGATGAAACAGCAGCTGTCCAGTACTCCCTGGTTTTCAATGGTTCCTAACTGATATCAGTCCGTGATCAACTCGTAAAACAAAGCTTAACTTTGAGGAACTTGTAGTGCACATTGTACCTTCGAACTTTTGTTTGAACGAACTCAGCCTGACCTTTAACCCCACTTCCACTTTGTATTCGTGAACCTCCTGTACGGTTTCGGTGTCGCTCTTTCGCTCACCTAGCACACTCTCCGAGCTTACCACCGTCTCAACCGCAGATAAGTATATACCTCTTATTTCTTATCGAATTCCATATCTCTTTTGTGTAAATACAATTCTGTTCCAGTTGCACTTGCCATCTCGAGTCTTTTAACCTTGATTTCGTTCGTTAGTACTTGCACGTTAGGCAGAGTACGATTAACGCCATAAGCGGTGAAGAAGTTTTGTAAGAGTGGTTATTGTTAGGTCGAAGTTAACCCAAGTTTAACTCATACAAACTCAACAACCAATCACAGCAGACTTAACGTGTGCAAATACGATTAGCAGATATATGGCCTGACTTTCTGAGAAACGGACACAAAGGGGTGACAGAATAACCTTCAGAAAGAAAACAGCCAATCGGAAGACTCTGTTTCTCTGTTAACAATAACCTATAATTCATATGAACTGTGATCAAGATTTGACCGGATAGTTGCAAAATAATTGAGCGCTGAGTGAGAAGTAGACATTTATAAAATTATATTTGTAAAATCTCAACGAAATTGAAATGATTAATTCCAACGTTTCGTTCGGCAATCTGGTCCGAACTTCTTCAGGGAAATTAATCGAATTAAAATAAACAGGTTTATATATAAAAGGAACAACTCATGTTTTTTAAATTTTGTCCAATCATGAGTCACGCAACAGTCATCAACATGTATAATAAATAATAAATTAATTTCCCTGAAGAAGTTCGGACCAGATTGCCGAACGAAACGTTGGAATTAATCATTTCAATTTCGCTGAGATTTTACAAATATAATTTTATAAATGTCAACAACCTATAATAATGTACATAAAAATCTATAAATATTTGTTGATTTTCTCAGTAAACTATCTGTTGCCTGGCCCCTGTCTTTTGTCGTTACAAACTTAGTAAATAGGAGGTTCTTATTTCAGCCCCTAGAAAGGAAATAATGCTGAATATCTCATTTTAAAATGGCTCCTAGTCTGGGGCTGTAAGGCTGATGCAAATAATTTTATAGCTAACCTCTTGTTTCTAATGTGTTGATAGTGGGTGGATTAGTTACACATTTCAGGTAAACCATTAATAATGATAATTTTGGGAAACAAAGATTTAGAACAATATGCAGTTAGAGGTTGAAATGTGGTGCCGATCGTCAAGCACTGATCTGAAACAGAGAGCAAAGTGCACGTTAACAGAGTGATCACATAAATGCCACGTGCTAGTAAGAATGAGAACTCAAGGTCAGAGGCTATATTTACAACCAGTCGTATTGCTACTAGGTGATATGGGAAGAATCTTCCTATTGGTCGCCCGTCACATCGTCTTGGCACACCAATCCCTGCAATCCACACAGCCAACGTGAAATCAGACGAGCATACAGTTTAAATATTAGAAAACCGCCCGACTTACCAGGCCTTGCCGAGTGTGACAAAACAACATAGACAATAATATATCAAGAACGCTGGGGTAAAATATGAAAAGCAGAACACAGACTCGGGTCGAAACACTTTATAATTACCAACCGTCTCAATAAAAGAAGAAGCCAAAGTTATGCGCAATAAAAGAGCTAGGGTATAACTGTTCAGTGACTACTGGGTTTTGAACTGACGCCTCCTTTCGAATTCCAACTACTACACTGAAGGTCAGTTGAATATGTGAGGAAGCAGGTGACTCTAAAATATAGCAGCCCAAAGCGAAACAACCTAGTGAACGGATAAATGACCTTGATAATGACAACTTTCACCAATCAGACGCCTCTATAGAAACAGCGCATTATTTGAATAAAACGTTTATATAAAAGTAGTGCAGTGTTAAAAAATAGTTACAAAAGATAACGTTCTCGTATATGTTCCAAAGGAAACTCCCAATTTTCCACAGGAGTCTTCATAGTTATGTTAAACCAAGCCCTATACATACACTCATCGCGATAACTGTATATTTTCAAGTATGGGTTATATAGGGATTTTGTTTGATTGCATGAAGGATTTCATCATGAGCTGAGATCAGTCCCAGTGGCTCAATGGTCTACGAGCTCGCCTTGTAACCAGAAGGTCCTGGGTTCGAATCCCGGTTGGTGCGTACTGCTGAAGAGTCCCAAACTAGGACGAAACAGCTGTCCAGTACTCCCAGGTTTTCCAATGGTTCTCTAACTAACGTCACCTCATGATGAAATCCTCCATGCAATAACTGTATATCATTGCATTTCTTGATCCATTCACAGATCTGATCCGTTTTTTGATGTGACTCCAAAAATCTTCGTTGGAATTAGTGTGAGTTCCATTGAGAGGATTGATCGATTTATTTGTATGGTTGGTAATGTAATGAATATAGCCCAGGATTGGTAGCTGACTATAACTACTCCATTCATCTGTATGAATAGTTGTTCCAAGCATCCCTAAGCGTTGGATAATAGGCAATAAGACATTTGCACTGAGATTAGTGATTGCCTCAATGTGTCCTTTGTGGAGGGTGGTGTCATATATCCCAACAATCACTGCTGATTCTCACTCAATCTCTTTTGATTATATATTCTTTTTATAAGCACTGTCTCATCCACATGAACATTGACGCCAACGCCGCTAAGTACTTGAGTCAGTATGCTCATTTTCCGTGATATTATGTCTCTGTAGTATCGGTAACATTGCACTGAAGACATTTCTGAATTTTATGATCCATACGCTGTTGCTGGTACTGGTCTTTTAAGCACCCAATTATGAAACATCATTACAATTTCCGCTAGAGGTAACTTAGACTTGGCGAAAAAAGTACTTACGGAATCTGGAAACTAAAGAAGAATGGCATACCTTCTCGAACTGACTTTCTGACCCGGCACTCATCGCACCTATAAATAAATCCATCAGTGCACCCAGTACATCTTTGTAAATACACAGCACCTCCACATTCACACTTTTCCGACCTCCCTATCAGTTCGTTCTCCAAACAGTAATCAAAAACAAGATCTGGGGCAAATTCGCTACACAAAAGGTGTACAGCATTCATAAGTACACCTGTATAATGCAGATTCACCTGATTGGTTGCTCAAGGTCACTTATCCGTTCGCTAGGCAGCTTCAGTTTGGGCTGCTATAGTTTAGAGTCACCCGGAAGCATATTTAGCAATCACCGATATGACTAAATGCTTAAAGCTAAGGGAAATATTGAAAATGTAATGCACTGTGTGATGCACTGATGCCAAAAAATTATTATTATTGAAATCCATGCAGCTCAATGATTCAAGTAGGCCGCCAATGTAAAGCAGGTTATTGTTTGGTAAATTGTACATAAACGGCTGGACTTATCCGGCATGTTGGTTGAAATTTCGCTCGGCAAATTTGTTTTGTCAATAATTTTAAATAAATTTTTGTTATACGTTTTCTGGATTGATAGGAATTCTCATTTCCTGGCTAGTTATGTTGTTGTCCGCGTCATTTAATCTGATTGCGACACACTTAGCATATTGGTTGTAATGATTAGTGTTTCATGCTGAATGTGTCAAAATATCTCTACAATGAAGAAGATGGGGTAGTTGGGGGGTAATGTCATCTACACAAATAGTTTATTTCTTGTAGAAGCTGCAGCTTTCGAC